CCAAGTATTCTTCATTTAGATTATGCAAGGGCCATTCAGCCAGACCTTCCCCATTAGGATTCCTGTAAACAATAAGAAAGGAAGTGTGAATATCATCTCCCATCCACTGGGGAATTCAAACACAGCAATTAATAATGAATCAACGATACAACTGACTCAGTATGGAATCACTGAAAAACAGCTACAATATTTTTAAAGTAAGATATCTCAATCTAATTCTCACCCATTTCGAGCAAAGTTAGCCCAGTACTTCATTAGAGTTCTGCTAAGGTTCTTTTCTTCCTATGTAGCTTCACCTGAGAAATAAAAAGAGCATTTTGTCTATAGATATTTTAGTCTTGATACAAGTCTTGATACTTGATATTCCTGGCTACAACAAAAGCAGCACACATGACATACATCAGTTATCTGGTAATCAATGAGACAAGATTTCAAGACTTCAAAAATCATCAAGGGAATGTTTCATGAATGAGATCAGCATAATTACTCTACAGGCAGTGGAACTGAGGTACGAGGAAGTGAAAGGATTTGCCTGTATCCTTCCAGGAAAACAGAAGCACAACAATAAATAAATAAACAAAACCTTGTCTCCTGAGTCCCACTACAACTGAGGAAATGGGCCACGTCGTTTAGTTCCATAGATCTCATTCTAGCTTTGCGGGACTGAAATTCTCTGCTCTGAACATGACGAGGCAAAGGTTTCTTCATTGTGATACATGAGGATGGAATTTTGTGCTTCAACATTTCAAAAATATTCCCTTAGAATCAGTTACATGTATGTTACACCTTTAGTTTCACAAAAACACCTCAACGTATTACGTAAAAAAAAAGAAAATTTGTTTGAGAATGCTTTCCTCACAAAGGTCAGAACTGTACAATGTTCTCTAGTTGTTCGCTAAGAACAAAGTATTATAAGTAAAAAGTAGATGCAAAATGTAAGCTCAATCAAAAGACTCTAGTAACAGATTAATTAATGCTTTTTATAACAAAGCTGGATTGCTCTGAAGTTCACTGAAGTAAAAGGAAATACTTCAATTTGCATGGACTTTGAACCAGACTATGAACTGTTGTGAAAATGAGAAAAATAAATGCAGAAAAAAATCAACTTTAGATATTCTCATGTTTTTATTTCAAAATGAGAACTATGCTTTCTGAGTATTACTGTTTTAGGCATATGCAAGCAGTGACAAGTGCTGGATTTACAATATTTCTGAGGAGATGACACCTTTTACTTAACCATTCACTGATCAGCACATTCATTTAGGTTGTGGCAACAAAGGATTCTGCTGAAGGAAGCAGAGCTTGATTCCAAGATCCTACATGAATGCCCAAACTCTTATGGCAAAGGCAATTTCGCAAGTGTGCTCTTAATTCTTTCTCCATGGACCAGTTCAATTTTTTTAAAAAGATGACTTATTAACTGAGTCATGGAATGAAACACTTTAACCTAGTTCTTAGACCTTCATTCTGAAATTGAAACAACAGGAGTTCCAGCCTCGCTCTAATGAACACAAGCTGAAACACTCTGCAAAACAGACTGTAACCCATTCTCTGGGGCCTGAAAGCCTGTCAGATTTCCCAGAAAAGACACATCACTTGAAATACCTCAAGCAAAGGAGACAGGGTAGATTTCCTGCTTTCTGAGCACCCTGTTCATCTCCCACTGGAGATTTAATCAATCTTTCCCTCAATGAATTTGCTGCAGAGCTTTGACTTAAAAATAAATCATCAGTGTCAGTATAATGACAGAAAGCTTGCTACAAATTTCATTTGCTAAATTGTCTGCAGCATATATAACTTCCTGTGCTTCAGAAACAGCAAACTGTGATAAAGAATGGAGAATACAGTAATGCTGAACAAATTCAAAGAAGAGAGAGATTTTGATCACGTGCACTACAACTGGATTAAAATGGAAGTACCAATACTGAATAATGTCAGTACTGTGAGACGAAACCTGATGTTTAATTTCTTACCCCGTAGGCTTATGTCACCTGCCAGATAAGGTCCTCCAAAGACAAAGCCAACTTCATCTCCATGATCGGCTTTCACATACTCTGGTTTAGTATCCCAGTATGAAGTGGGACGATGCTGATACTCAAAGAAGTAGGTAGGCGCTCCAGACTCTAGGAGATTTTACATTTAGAGAGTTGTAGGAGAAGCATGTTAGAATTACCTTAAATATGTACAATGCTTTACAGGCAACTGGGCACATTTCTGAATGTAACACTACTCCCAAATACATATTCATATCTTTAATTAAAAATGAAGAATGCATACTATTAAGATGATGAAAAATTCACCTTGGGAATACGGATAGAAAACAAAAATCCAGTTATTTCCCAGTTCTGTATATTTTGCCTACACTTAGATGTCATAAAGTTTCTAGACTGCCGAGCTGCTGACTTCTGAAGCAGTAGTGGGCTAAAAGGGAAATTCCAGATTCCTTCAATTTTTAAGCTTGCATAATTCACATAGCAAACATCTGCTTGTGTTATCCTTTTCTTATCTCAGTGTACTGTAACTATAAGCCCAAGTGCAAAATACAAGTACAAAAATAAAGACATCATTTGCTTGATGTGCTTCTGTGCCCCTAAATCACACTTCATTCTCGAAGTTCCCAGTGGGAATTTCAAGAAGGGTTACCTACACAACAAGATTTGTTTCTTTACCATTTAAATCAGCCTGTAGTAAAAAGCTTGAGTGTCCTGTTTTGAGACTGTTTTGAGAGTGTTCATTGGCTCACCTCGGTAATAACTCAGTGCTTTAATGGATGGTATGACAATAATGAAATCCCCCAGCAATTCCAGAAATCAGTCCTGTAGCTCAGCAGGATCATCTGTGTTTTCCAGATATTCATCCATTATTACAGGCAACAATTCTGCTGACAAATTCTAAACAAATTAAAAAAAAAAAAGGGCTGGGGGAAACATGGAAAAACTATCACTTTAAATTAGCAGCTAAAAATGTCATGTTTTAAACTTCAGAGATTCCGCAAAGGCAGAAAAATAAAGGATAGCACCCATACCGATGGAAAAGCATGATGGCAAACAAAACTCACTGACATTTTTTTGTGAAAATCAAAGCAAAACAAACATGTCTCAGATAAAATTTACAGCAATATGATTTAAAACTCCCTAGGAATCAATTAATTTCCAGAAGTTTGGAATTTCGCTCATCCTGACAATGCCTTTGGCATCTGTTTTCTTCAGGAGAAAAGAGACAGGAATAATAAGTTTGAGTTCTTGAAAAACGTGTAGACTAATAGACTACAGGGCAAGACCATCAGGATCTCTAAACAAACACAGCTTAGGTCGGTAATGTTACAATTTACTGTTTGACGGATACATTTCAAAACAAAGAGTGCAAAATATTTTCAGTAACTATTTAAAAAGCTATATTTAATTTACTGAAAAAACCTGCCTTGAAACCCAATACACAGGAGACTGGATATCAAATACTGTAAGGGCGTCATTACAGTAATCCTACATACAAATATATAACACAAAAATGTTGGTTCAGATTTCTTGAAGAAAAAAGGTATTTCCCAGAATCTAGGCCTGACTCAACCCTATTTCTGATTAGCTCCATACACTGCAGTCCTGCCAGCTTTGCTGGGATTCTCCTCAAACTGTAACATTACCTTGAGCCTTAGTAACACTATGCACAAGCAGCAAATGAGAGAACACTAAACTTCACAAATCTGGTATATGCACCAAAAAGAGGTTTTACTTCTTAGATTAGTGCAGCAATTCTTACCATCATTGGTAGTAGAAACTCTAAAGCTGAAGTGATTGATTTTTTATCTCCCACATCTCTCAAAGCTGGTATTGTTGATGTCTGCACAGAAAAAAAATGTTGCTAGAATCACTTAACTTCTCCAAAGTTTTCATATTTTAACAACTTTATTCCACTTTATTACTACTCATATTTATTTCTGAAGCATCATACCATATGGAAAAATGCAGGAACTGTCTTCAAAAGCTTGTATTTACCACAGCATATGTTTCATTCATGAAAGTTACTACATCAGCCATTCTAACTATGTACTTTATCCTTAAATCAAACACACATTATTAAGAGATTTGTGACTGGGGAGCACTAGGGCAAAATTTAAGCAACAAGCTGTTGTGTCTCAAAGGCTTATTTTCCCTCAGGTAGGGGAGATCCTGTTTGGATCACTGGCAGCCCCTTTCCCAGAGACTCATGAATACTACGTAAATTAAGAACAAATGCTTTGCATTACAAAGCTAAGCATGAATACTTATAAAATTAAAAGGATAAAAAAGACAGGGCAAATCCATCCCCCACATTTTGATGCACTGTATAGCAACTGTTCTCTTGAAGTTACCCATAGAATTCACATGTAAAGGAATTTATGCACTGAGTGCAAGTGGGATACCTGTATTAACCCTGTATTCCACTCACATCTGAGATTTTTAACCAACAGATCTCATCACGTGATAACAAATACAGGGACAACACCACAAACAGCACTCATCAGAGCTACAACATAAAAGGTAAACTACTTACAGTGATCAGTATAGCATTTTTAAATGTTCAATGTATTGATCCTGAATACTGTGTGCGTTACACCTGTGTTTGTTGTGGGGGAAAGGATTATTTTTATTTTGCAAAGTAATAAGCTCATGATTGCAGCATCACTTTTCACTTTCTCTGCCTGGATAAGGCATTAAACTTTCTGGAAAATACTATATAATATTGACAGTTCAGCATGCAGATGGAGCCTGTCTTACTGCTTTGTGACCAACTGGTTCTGGGTCTCTACAAAATCAGAGTGAAAGCAAAATTTGTTTTGTTTGTATTCCCAACAGTGCATACGTAAAAAGTGTCCTACAAGCAAAGACCTCACCTACTCTTCTCAGAATCACCTGCATTATTTAATACCAACAGTCCAAAAAATGAAGAACAGATATTAAATTACAGATCTAATATTCCAGCCAAATTCATTATTCGTGACTCCTATCATAAACGGGACCATGTTAAATTCTTTTCCAGCCAATATATCTTCAGGTGACTTATTAAGAAATACTCCATCCAAAACTAAGGGTAGAAATGGGATTTCCTGAAGGAGTAGAAAAAACATCAAATTACTTGTTAATAGTATTTTCCCTTCTTCCTTCAAGTCACATAATAAAACATCCACATTTAGTGTTCCAGGTGCAAAAAAGAGCTTTAGGAAATCAGGGTACCTATGGCCACTGTAACACACAATTAGAGTTTTTAACAATATGAAATGCTAGCCCAGCTGGGGTATGTTAAGATATAATTTAATGGCTTTCTGATACTGTACTGTTTACAACTGACATTCAGATATATTTATGTTTGAGCCTTGCACGCAACTTTACAGTTGCTCTGACACTTCACTAAAAAAAGTCTTAACTAAAGAAAATGTCTGTGAGATAATTTGCATATTTGGGTATACTTTGACAAAAATTCAGAAACATGTCAATTATTAACACTAGTCAGAAGCTGACCTGAAGTTCTGCAAATGTGCCATAAAAAAAAAAAAAACAAAACTGTTACTAAGTAAAGTTTCACTTACCATACTGTTAAAGACTATATCCATTGCTTCCTGGTTCCTCAAGCAGTTTATTAGTGAGAGTGAACTGCTAGTCTCACACTTAAATATTTGCAATTTTCTGAAAATTGTTAACAAAGACAAGAACTGTTAGCTATGAGTTAGTCTTTAAGGAATTTATATGCATAAGATCACTGTATGCAGTACTGTTGTTTTATATAAGCCTAGTTTAGGTGAGCTTGATAGATCTTCAGGTACTTTATTTTACTAGAGATCCTACAGTTAGATCATTAGGACAAATAATTCTTCTGTACTTCTCTTTTGTGCTGTATTTCTGTTCACTGATATACAACATATCTCGCTGTAGAGATAGCATGAAATTGTAACAAAAATCAAGCAAGACAAGGAAGTTCAGAGAATCAGCTTGTGAGTTTCAAATTACTACTGCCTACAGCTTCAGGAAGAGAAACAAGAAAGGTACTTTCATTTCAAGGCGTTTTGTTTGTTCTGTTTTGTTTGCTTTAGTTCAAATTAAGAGTCTCCATAAAAGGCCATAGCTGAATAAAAACTGAGTGCTTCTTCTGGATTCTAATTAAACGTCCCACAACACATTCAACCATTATTATGTAAGTGACAGTATGCATGAAATTGGACATATGCCCAGCTAGGCATATGTGTAATTGAAAATACTTAAATCTACCCACAAACATTATAATCTCATAACTGTATAACCTATTTCCAACATCAAATGTGCATAGTAAGATTGAAAATACATCGACTATTTGAATTAAATTCTTACTGGGTATCTATTTATCCATAGACATGCCTTGAAAATAACTCTAATCAACTTGTTTGCATAATATGCAAGCAGATACACCAAAGAGGTGACTGATCCTGGATCCCCACCAAAGTGTTCAATATTTTTCAGGACCCGACTGAAGAGCTTACACTTGATCCAAAAATGCCCAGTTCCCACGAGCATGTTCATCACCAGTACTGAAAGAAAAGCAGTATAAGCTAACATCTCAGGAAGAGTAATACTTCTAATACCAGAATAAAATTAACCCTGCCAACTTACAGTTTGTGAAATTTGGCCAAAGAAAGATCTGCATAGCCTACCAGTCAAATGACCTTCACATCTCTAAGTCACATTTAAGACCCATGTTTGTTCACTCATATACAGATAGATTCTTGGCCTTTTCAGGATATTAATTTTTGCTTTCCTCACCAATGGATGAAGGAAATGGCAAGAAGGAACACCCTACAGACAATCAAATAAGCCCAACTATGATTTGATGGCAAATAAAAAATGGCAATACAAACGGAATTTAAGGACCAGATTCTTAGTGTTCTCATATCTTAATGTCAGACAACTACACACATTTGAATCACTGTACCACTAGGAAACTGGTGCAGAAATTCAGCTGATTTAGAAAATAAAACCACTTATGCTTTAAGCAAAACAAAAAGTATCTAGTAAAAAGTGAAATGGGTCATCTTACTTGAAAAATCCAAGCAGTCCAAGTCTGTACTGAATTATTACTATCACAGTATTCTCATAGGCTGAACCATCGTACCTAGAAGCACCACCAAATATAAAATTGCCTCCATGAATCCACACCATGACCTTTGAGATGAAAAGGGTGAAACATACATTACACAATGGTTAGCAGGTTTCATTTGGAAAGGGAAGACAACAGAGAATTAGTAACTTCAAACCACTGAAAGTCACTGGGAGCTTAATTTCACGTTGATAGACTGTGAATTTTGCATAATATTAGTCTTGCTTATGCAGGACAACATTTTCAAAAGCAATTAAATAGCTTAGGAGTCAGGATTAAATGCAGACCTTGTAGAACACAAGGTTTCACAACCTTGTTCTTCTTGTCTGCAGGGCTATAAACATTTAGATACAAGCAGTCCTCAGAAGTTTGGAATTGAATGTGTCTTTATAATTTTTTTCAGCTTTTTTCAACATGGTCAGATCTTGAGGACATCTTCACAAAAGAAAGAAAGGAAATATAATTATTAGTAATAAAACTCAAATATTAACTATGTACCAATGATAGACAAAACACATTTTCTTTATCAGGCTAAATTTCTACTTGGTGCTTGAACTGTCTCTTACTTACAGGAATCCTTATGTTTCCTAATCCACAGTTCTTATTAAATATCCCACTACCAGTCAATCCAAGCACCTTAATAAAAATCATACCTCTGTACACTAACAAATATAACACTACTGACAAATATGAGCAAGTACAATACACACAAGTTAAATGAACAGCTCTCACAGCAGTGGGTAAGAAATTGCATCTTTCAGATCATTCCAGGGGTCAGGAGGTTCAGGTGGGGAAAACCTCAGAGATCCAACAGGTGCTTTTGCAAAAGGAATCCCAAGGAAAACGTTTACAAGTCTGTCTGTTCCCTTCACATTTACTTGTTTTCCTCTGAGCCGTCCATGTGCAATAGTCACTTCTGATTCAGCAGCCTTCTGTCCTAAGCAGCACATAAGCCAGAAGAATTAATTTACATTTTCATAATTATCAGAGAGATTTTTCACTCTCTGTGAAAAAGGCTTTGTGAGGCTTTTTTTAGGGAACAATTTATTTTGTAGATTTCAGCTTGTTCAATTTTGTTCAGTTTTCATTTTACTTATGTGCAATGACACTCCCCTCACCAAAAACTTCCATAGCTGGTTCTGTTTATGACAGCTGGAGCTAGGTAAGGCACAGTTTACACACTGTGGAAGATGATAAATCTTAAAAACAATTTCAGAACAAACAGTAGCTGACAAAATCCATTTACCATTCAGTAAAACAATATCCTTTTACTAAACAAACCCTTTTATTATTTTCATAAAAACATCTCAAAATGGTTTCATTCAAAAAAAAAATAAAATCACTTTTGCACTGAGCTTATTAGGATTCTTTTGCAGATTGCTAATACAAATACAAGAGAGGTACTGCCTTTGAGAACTACTACCTTGCAATTTATTAGTGCAGTTGCTTCCCCATCAGCAGTTAAAAAAAAAAAATCAAAAATCAAAGTCAAAAGACTTTGCATCTCACCTTCTGTTCCACAAATGTGGAATGTGAATGTTAAACTACAAACCAAGATACAAAGCAAAGAAATCTGGGTTTGAGGAGACATTTTTCCCCCAAGTTGGATTCCAGATTATTTTCTGTTTTTTATGAGGAAGACACTGGTATAAAGGTCTCTGCTGACTGTGCTCTCAGTAGGGAGCACAGCTAAATTCCCTTCTGAAAATGCACTGCGCATTAAGCACTTTCAGAGCTGTAACTGAAATGGAGAACAAATACAATCCCTTAGAGTAACACACCTATCATCATTACCTGATCCTGATGATGGATGATTTGGCCCAGCATCAACTGTGAACAATGAAAGGTCTTATCCTAGTTAATCTGTTTTTAATTCTACAATCCTATACACACCTCAATTCCCACTTAAATATTTACTACTTCATATTTTGAATCTTATAAGTGCTACAAAGCAGTGAAATCTGAAAGAGTTTCAGAGCTACTCATTAAAATTCCTGTAAAAATAAAATTCCTAAAACAAACAAACACAACAAAAAATGTTTCCAGATTACAAATAACTAGGAAGAAAAGAAGAAAGGAAGAAGTTTAGTAATTGCACGAGTATTAATGAGTGCTGGCATATCTGCACCACAGTTAGCATGGTACGTGTGCTTTTCTGCAAGAACTGGCCTCCAACTTCCAAATTAGTTTTTTAACACTTTTGCATATTTAAAAATAAATGGGATATTAAAGCTGAGGGCCAGATTACAGCATCTTTTCTGTGACTGCGCAAGGCAACAGAGCAGCCTCATGGAGGTCAGAAAGCAAGGCCAGCACCTTATTGTAGGTGTACTTTCCTCAAAAGACAAGGAAAAGACCATGACCACTCCTTCTCTATAAAATAGCTTCCTATGGTGGAAATAAGCTGGCTATCCCATGGACAGTTTTCTCCTTTTGGCTGAGAAATCTTAAAAAGTTCTGTAGTCCATAGGAGCATGACAACACTCAAAGCAAGTAACTGGCCTTAAACAGATAAGCCTCAAGGTCTTCTTCACAGTTGGATCTACAAGTTTAGCCTGCTCCACTAGCTCCCCGTTTTCAGCAGGCAGAACACACCACATAATGGATCTGTTTCCCCACCGTTGATTCATTTTACATCTCCCAGATGAATGATGTCATCAGCACTCAGTTGCAAAGCATACTGCTCCAGGGTCTTCTGCACTGCTTTCACTTCATTCACCTCCAATATAAAGACACTGCAAAGCCATCTTCTCCACCACAGGTGGGTAATACATCATGTAAGTTCACCCTGTCTTGAAATACAGAAATTTGTCAGTTGGTTCTTCTTTAGATGCTTTTTTTCACTGTAAATAGTTTCTCCTCAAAATACCAAAACAGGAATCGAGACCTATCAGCTCAAATGAGCTCTAGGCTAGCCCACATTATCAGCCCTTGCTCACCTACCTCATCAGCTAGGGCTATCACCTCCTTATCCTTTTTCTCCCTCTTCTCTGTGAACAAAATCAGTATCAGACGTATTAGCAAGCAGACAGATTGCTATTTAATTTTTAGTGATCTAAGAGAAAAAAAAACCAAAACACTTCTTCACTTTTATTACAATGTTCTGAATTGAAAGAACCATTTATCAAAGCAACAACAGCAGCCCAGAAAGGAAAGTGCACACGTTCTGAAGCTGCCGTTCCATTCAGAGCCAACCGTTACAAGTCACACACAGAAAGGCTCCCGGTGCACAACCCGCAGCTGCGACAGGGATCAAACGGCTGCCCCGTGCGCGGGCACAGCTGTGCCGGGGCTGCTTTCACAAACGTTTGTCACGAGTAACACAGGAGTAAAGCTGTTATTCCTGCCGGCTGCCAGGAGGGCGGCTCGGGCGACCGGAGGTGTTTCATTACCCATAACCGTGCCTCAGGCAGCCAGCAAGCTGTCACTCGAAAGATAACAACAAAAAACAATCGTTTCTTTTCTGTGTTTTTGGTTTTTTTTTTTTTGTTTTTTTTTTTTTTTTTTTTTGTGATAAGTAATCAAATATACGGCCGAGAAGCTGAAGCAAAATACAGCTTGTTTACACAGCAGTCAATGCCCAACTCCTATGACCAAGGGGTGAATGAAGCTGCGCTATAAACCACCGCTACAGCCCCGATCGCTCCACTTACTCTCACAACGTGATTTTTTTTTACACGCGGTTTGCTTTTCAAATTAACTCAAAGACGAAAGACATTGCTTTAAGCAAGACGCGACCCAACTCCCCCACCCTCCACAGCACCGAGCTCACCTCGGAGCCCCACGCCGCCGCCCCGCCCAGCTCCTCTCCCTGCCGGGCTCAGCACCGTGCCGACCCGCCAGCCCTCCGCACGGCTGCGCGCGGGTTCGGTGCCGTTCCACCGCTCGCCCACGGGGGAGCGCTCCGCACCGACGCTGCCCTCCCGGTCCGGCGGCGAATCGCGTCCGGGCTCCTTCCGCCCCGCCGGCAGCGCAGCCATGGTGGGCCCGGGCGGCGGCGTGCCGCTGGAGAACGCCAATCCGCTCATCTACCGCCGCTCGGGGGAGCGGCCCGTGACGGCGCAGGAGGAGGACGACGAGCTGCCCGATTCCATCGACGACCGGGAGATCTTCGATATCCTGTCGGGAGGGCGGGATGGGGGAGTGCGGGGGGGAGGGCGGCCTCCGTCCCGCTTTCCTTAACGCCGCACATCTCATCCGCTCCATTAACGACCCCGAGCATCCCCTGACCCTGGAGGAGCTGAATGTCGTCGAGCAAGTTCGAGTTAAAGTGAGACTGTCTTATTTTTGTTGTTGCTTTTTTTTTTTTCTCCTTGTTTGTTCATTACTTTTTTTTTTTTTTTTTAACCGTGAAAAGAAGTGCATTATGTCAATTTACTGCATTTAAACATAGTGCTTTAAGCCCTCAGCGAAAAAAACCTGAGCAGCGGGGCGCGGCTCCCAGCAGCGTTGCGCACGGAGCACCGCAGGCAGGGCGCAGCAGCCCGCGGGTTTGTTTTCCAACAGGTGAACGATGCCGAGAGCACCGTGGCGGTGGAGTTCACACCCACGATCCCGCACTGCAGCATGGCAACGCTAATCGGCCTGTCCATAAAAGTGAAACTGATCAGATCGCTGCCCGAGAGGTTTAAGGTGAGTAGTAAAATCACTCTGGAAAGCAGAAGAGACGGATGGTGTTCAAAGGCAAATAAATGAGAATATGAATCCACTATAACTTTTTACTCCATGTTGCGAGGGAGAGAAGCGCTCCAGGGCGAGGAAGGAACTAAAGTAACAGATTGGTGCAGAGCTGCAGTTCTGTACTGGTGGCATCACGGTGAGTGCGGTTGTGATGTGAAGGCATGAAGGCACAGAAGGTGATGGCAGTGCTTCAGCCCTCTGCCTGAAGAAGGCGGTGTTCTTTTGGACTTGGTTTTATTCTTCTTGGTACAGCGTCTGGCCGTGTCAGGAATGTCTTTTGTTGTTGCTTTATTTTGCTGGTTTTTTTAATTAAATACTTTGAGCTTCCAGTGTTTTGTTGACTTGCCTCCTTTTTCTTTCTCCATACTTTTTAAGATGGATGTTCATATAACGCCAGGAACACATGCCTCTGAACATGCAGGTAAGTATTTTATTGCTCTGTTGTGTGTTTTTTTTTTAATTAATCAAAAAATTAGAGAAAAGATAGATTCCTCCACCTGCAGATCAGCTGTTTAGTATCTGGGACTGTACACAAACCAGCCCCTTCTGGGAGATGTTACAGAACAGGAATGCATAAGAACAAAACTTAGAAATATTTAGTGTCTTAGTTTAAATGTTTCCTTGGATAGCCTGTGCTGTCAAGTAATCATTGCTTTACCTGGAAAGCACAGTTAGAGTGGGAAGGCTGGAGGTAAATTTCTTCTCCTGTTACACATACACATGCATAACTTCCTGCTGCTGAATCATAAATAACTTACTGGCTTGAGATCTGGTAATGTGCTGTCATTGACTTTAGACCACAGCTTTGTGATGTAGTTAGCATCCGTGGAGTTATTTTAGCTGAGTACCACAGCAACACTGAGACTATCAGTCTCACTGTAAAGTGTTTCTAAAAAGACCTCCTGTACCAATATTTTTACCAGTTTCTTGTGGTATTTTTTTCTGTGCAGTTAATAAACAGCTTGCTGATAAAGAACGTGTAGCAGCTGCTTTGGAAAACTCTCACTTACTGGAAGTGGTAAATCAGTGTTTGTCTGCTCGATCATAATTGCCTGATCAGGAAACCATTGGTATTCTGCTGTATTAATTTTGTATATAAGTGGTGTTGCTAATGCTACACGTATCTATGAGCAAAATAAAACTACCTTAAAGAAGTGTTCCATTACTTCTTCAAAAAAAGAAAAAGTAGTATGGAGAAAATTAGCTTTCTGGTAGCTATAAAGCTGTGATGTAAATTGGCTTTTTCTGTTCATTAATTATTGCACTGGTGTGATTTTTTTTTCTGAACTTTTTTAAAAAAGATTTGGTTGAACTTGTTTTTAACAGGTATCTTACTATCTAAAGACTAGTTATAAACTGCATTTTAGAAGTGGATTTTGTGCACTGGGTTTCACAAGTATACAAGTTAACTAGCAGTTAAAATCTTTATACTCATATGATTATTTTAGACTAATACAGTTTTTCTTTCAAACATCAAGATTTCTACAAATTCCTGTGTGCCACATTGTAAAACATTTGCAGCAATAAATGTAAACAATTTTAAATAATCTAATTTTTATTATTATTATATTAATCTAAATAGCCAGATATGGAGAGCTCTTTAGAATGTATAAAATGTGACTTGCTTTTCCTTACTCATCACTTGTATCTTTGAGGAGTTCTTGTTTCTTTGTTTTCTGTTTTCCTTCCTCCCTCCTGACAGGAAGGAGTCTTTGGTAATTTTCAGTTGAAGTGATCCAGCTACTCTGCTAAAAACCTTTCCTGGTAAAGTTTGACAGCTAAATCACAATATGTTGCTTTAAACATATACAGGTTTAACAGTGATATTTAGCGTGTGCTTGCGGTGTGGGAAACATGGCACTTGAACTGTAGGGATTAGTGGCATAAAAATTCATTCTGATAGAATTCCATTATTAATTTGAACTTTCTTAAGAGTTGTTTCTAGTACTGGAAAAATAATAGCTTGTAATAATTCTGACAGGTATTTTGGTGCAAACATACAATATTATGTATCAGCTATGTAGTACTTTTTTCAGTTATTTAGAGAGTAATTAGTATAGAGTTCTTGGGTTTTTTTTGTTTGTTTGTTAATTAGATGTGTGATAGTGATGCTTTACATTTCAGTATTTTTATTGGATGATCTCAGATGCTATTTCAAAAACATTAAACCTTATGAAGGACATTATGTATATCACAGCCTGGTGGAAAAGGCTAGTCTGTGTTGCCAGGAAACTAAGGCAGTGGTAAACCAAGTGAGATGGCGAAGCTCACCTATACAAGAGAAAACAGAACAGAAACAAATCCAAATCTACTCATTTTAGAAATTACTCACCCAGTATACAGAGTTTCTGTAGAAGGCCAACTCTTCAGCAGCGTTTATTTGCTTATTTGATTAGCCTCCTTTGAATAATGAGCATTTGCTTTGATGTTTGAATGAAACTGGAAATAAAAATAATATTTGTGTAAAATTAATGCTAATAAATGAGTAGATTGACATACCTGCTAATATGCTCTTTGTCTCTCAGGCCTAGTCACTGAACTGATCAGCCCTGACACTGCCAGCCTTTGCACCACAAAAGAAAACTTCAGCTCTGGCAGTACGTGAAAGCAACTCATAGGCAATATGCTTGATTTTTTTTATTATTATTACTATTATTTTTAATAGTAAGATGAAACTTGTCCTTCCAGATTTTGTGGAAGACAGGAATGCAAATATGGGGAAATAATAGAAAGATGAGTAGGCTGCAAACAGATGTTTGATGTGCTTTAACCTATGTATAAAACAGAGAAGGAATTAGTAAGTTATACTTTATTTAATCTGCTTCTTAGCCTTCACCACTATATAATAATAGTAATAAATAATTTATTGGATGTTAGCACTTGCCTCACACAGTAATCCTATGGGTGCACTTTGCACTGCTTACTTTTTCAGAGAAGCAACAGTACGTGGTTAGGTTGTTCATAGTACATAGGTTAAGAGGTGACTTTTTCAGTAAAGGGACTTTATTACAGTGTCAAACACAAGGTCTGACTTCTGCTACTTAAGGTTGTTTAATTCCATAACTTCGGGTCTTGTATGTTTCGTTAAATGATGTGCATGTTATATTAATTAGGTGAGAGAAACAACAGAAGGGACAAACCGTTGTTACTTGACTGAAGATTGCAGCTCCTTCTGTATGGGGCTCCCTCAGCTTGAGTACTTGCTGAATGCTAATGTTCTGCCTCTTTCAGCAAAAATCTTCCATTGCCCAGCTTTAACAATCACTAGCTGGCCTGCTGTACAAAGAGTAAGTGGGAGAAGAAAACATTAATTTGTTACAAGTACTTCTTCACAGACTGCTCTTCCCCCCCTCCAAAAAAAAAAAAACAGCCCCCTAAGTTTAGTGTCTTCAGTGCTTTGTAATAGGACACATTTCATCAGAAAATATGACCCTTTAGAGCAGCTGCGTGGAATACAAACAGCCTTGTTCAAGTCCAGGAAAAATGCCAGAAGCAGACATCTGTTTCACACTACTGGGCTCTGAGAAGAGTCCTCCAGGAGGACTGAATGGCATTCATTCCTCTTAATCTACAAACACTGTGACAAAACCTCCCTAGGATCGTTGGCTATGTTGCATGCTGGAGTAACCTGCCTTGTGTTTGAGCCAGCAGACCAACACAGTTTGTGTGTCTCAGGCTCTGCTGCTCTGCACACACAGATCTGTTTCCTGGGAGGAAGCAGACTTCTTTCTAGCTACACTCATGCCGTCATTGCTGTCCAGTAGTCTGCAACTTCTGAAGACTCAAACTCCCAAAGTCATTATGAGTGG